TGTATTTCCATATGTCAGGGTACTAACTGTGCTAGTCAGTTTATCTTATGTATTATAAAGAACCTTTGTCCATGAGTTTTGCCTAATTTGGAAAACTTTTTTAAAAGCCTAGCCTTGATTTTTAGTCATTGATAGCACTACATGTTCTGTCAAGTAGGGATGATGTAATATGACTTCTGAGGGAGGGCACCAGATTGAAATATTATTTTCTTTGGGTTTTCATTGATATTTGCCATTTGGTGAAGAGGATGTTTTATTTCTTCCAGATTAGTGGACTGTAGAAAATAGTTTTTCCAGAACATTGTTTCTCCTATTAATTACAAGACTGTGAACCTTGAAAAATCCTAAGCAGAGGGCAGTGATCTTCATCTGCTTTGTTCACCGATAGGTCCCAGCATCTAGAACAGTGCCTTTGTGGGTGTTTAATAAATATTTGTTGAATGAACAAATCTCTAGCATACCTTTTAATCAGTAAGTGCAGCTTTTTTATTCTCTCTATTGGCCTTTGATCTGAACAAAGGGCATCATTGTTTGTTGGAGTATTTTTTTTCTTTACCTAAGTTTTTCTTTTTCTCTGGAAAGCATGGGAATAAGCTTCTCTAGCTCCTTGATAAAGATAGCTTGTGCCTTAGGAACATAGACTGATATCACCCACACTGATATATGTGCCTTAGGAACATAGACTGATATCACCCACACACACTTCAAATATTTATAGCTGGGCTTCCCTGGTGGTGCAGTGGTTGAGAGTCCACCTGCCGATGCAGGGGACACAGGGTCGTGCCCCGGTCCGGGAAGATCCCACATGCCGCGGAGCAGCTGGGCCCGTGAGCCATGGCTGCTGAGCCTGTGCATCCAGAGCCTGTGCTCCGCAACAGGAGAGGCCACAACAGTGAGAGGCCCACGTACCGCAAAAAAACAAAAACAAAAACAAAAACAAACAAAAACAAATTTATAGCTATTTACATTATGCTAATCTTTATACTTAAGGGTAATGCTGGAAATAATTAACATGGAATCATGGTTTTTTATTTTTTTTAAAGAATCAAGTATTATTCTTTATTATACCAATTGACCACTATGTGGATGCAGATTCAAAATTAGGAAATAATACAAATTAGTATAAACTATATTTTAAATGGCCTTTTATGAAATATTAAAAAGAAGTAAAAATATTCCAAGTAACTGGAAATTGTAGAGTTAAACTACCTATTCTACTAGCATTAATTTTTTTGTTTTTTTTTTATTTTTTATTTTCTTCTCACACACACACTGTATTTTATTTTTACAAGAGATAAATAAACTGACACCAAGCATTGTAAATGGATGACCACAACAGAGCCAACAATGATTGCGATTACCAAACACGAAACACACTCATACCATGTCATAATACTGACATTCAGTATCATGGGGGTTTTAAATTATTATTTCCCAAGAGACTTCTGAGATCATCTTGTCCAACTCTCTCATTTTAAGGTTGGGAAAACTAAAGCCCTGAAAGGTTTTTAACTTAGGGTCCCTCTGCTAATTAGTGGTGGTGCAAAAACTAGAATCCAGGCCTTTGACTCCCAGTCAAATGTTTTGTCCACACGCATTATAAATAACTTTTTAGCCCATTTTTCAAGGGGAAGGCTTTTTCCATTTAAAATATTGATTCATCATTCTGACACCCTCAAGCACATATTTTGATGCCCAAACTATTAAAAAATTTTTCCCAAATATTAAGAGTAAGCGTACTTTCATAGCTAAGGGCTCTTTTGAGGAACCTGTTCTTCCCAGGTTATCAACGCAGAGAGTACTGAAGGTCTGTCGATAGATGTACTTTATAATATCAGTAAGTATACTTTATAATTTCAGTATTATATATAATATTAGCATTTTACCATAAAAGAATTTAAACTTGTTGTAATACCTTAAATTATATTTGAAAGCAAATTGACTTCTGAATAGTGAAATACAGAATATTAGTAGAATATTCTCATTTGCTAACATGAAAACTCTTTTGGGTTCTGTAGGCAGCTGAGGACCTAGGTGGTTAACCAGATATCTTAAGAATCAATCTGAATATTAAGAGCTTATAACAGCACTAATTTGATATTAAAATGCTTTAACCATAATAATGTTTATATTTTAGGGAAAAGTAGTAGTTTTTTATCTAAACTAGATTTTTGTTATTTTTTGCTTTAATTGTATAGCTATAGATTGATAAATAGAAGTGGTTTTCTTTCTTTTTTTTGGCTAAAAAAATTTTTGAACTTCTGGAGGAGGGCATACAAGAGGAAATAAATTAAAAAGAGACTATTTCTCTCTCGCAATCTTATTCCATAGGGGACTACAGGTTCCAGCTACCACATGCACTGCCTCTCCCTCTTAGTAGTCCCTTGATGGGGCCTCATGGTCAGATAGGAGAATACAACAGTCCTGTTAAAATACATTTATTCACAGTGCCATTGATTAGAGAAAAAATTTTTCTTTTCAAATAGTCCATTTATATTAACACTATAACATTATTTTACATTCAGAGGAACATACAAATCTCAAATGCCCTGTTTCAAATAAGGTACATTTCAAGGTTATCAGTATTTAGTAGTGTTTTAACAATGTCTACCTTGTATTCCATTTTGAAGTGATTTTATTACAGACAGGAATTATTAGTAACCTATTTTTATGTCTCCATGTCTCAAACACTAAATTGATATTGTACTTGGGCTTAGTGACTATGTCATAAAACATCACTTTGTGAAAGAAAGGCAACCATTCCAAAATCAATGACACGATATTTAATTATTAAATTTTTTAAGTGAGTCCAGAATTTATAAGACATTTTCATAAACGAAATTAGGTGGTTAGAAAAGTAGCAGAGGGAGTGTGAGTTTTGGAATGAGCTTCTCAGTTGACAGTATAGTTAACTAATTAATCCAATTTAGAATAGAGCTTCAGAAATGATGAGAGTCAACTTTAATCAAATGTGTGAAAACTAAACATTTTTTAAATGTTTAAACTGGAAGATCCACTTAAGTTTTATCAGCTGAAGGTGACACTGTTACCTGAATAATCTACTGTTTCTGTCCATTTAAAATGATCTCCTAGGAATATGTTAACATATAAGAACACAGCAAGTAAAAACTCAAATTGCTTAATTCTAAAGTTCTTCTTGTTGGTTTGTCAGACCCTCCAAAAGATATTATAGAAAAGTCTATAGCACATAAATTTGCTAGAATTTTATTTTTCAGCTGCTGCTTTTAAAATAGCCCTAGAACTGCAGGCCTAATTTCTAAAAATATTTTTAGAAAATTCATTATAAATGTGGAATTTAATTATGTAAAGTACTATAGATTTGGCTTGCCCAAGCCTTTGGTAAATTGATTCTTAATTTATATTAATTCATTCTTAATATTTTACTTAATATTCAACCCTTTAGAGTTGATAATTTGCTTATATTACATGTAATTATGTATTATAATTAAACAAAATATTTTTCTATAAAAATGGAGTGCTGAATAATTTTAGGAATAAACTTAAAAATAAAAATTGTGCCCAAATCTGAGTGATCAAAAATATTCTCCTTCCACTCATCATTGGACAATCACTAAAATGATACTTTTAGCATATTTTTCAGACAGTTTCAGGATGACAGCATCAGCACATCTTAGCAGCCTCTGATTCATCTAACAAGATAAATTGACTTGAGTTTTAATATAAGGCCATTTTTTTTCTTCTGGACTTCTGGAGGAGGGCATACAAGAGGAAATAAATTAAAAACATAACATATACACACTACTATATATAAAATAGATAAATAACCAGGACTTGCTGTATAGCACAGGGAACTATATTCAATATTTTGTAATAACCTATAATGGAAAATAATATGAAAAAGAATAGTGGGAGGGAGGGAGACGCAAGAGGGAAGAGATATGAGAACATATGTATATATATAACTGATTCACTTTGTTATAAAGCAGAAACTAACACGCCATTGTAAAGCAATTATACTCCAATAAAGATGTAAAAAAAATAGATAACTAATACGGACCTACTGTATAGCACAGGGACTCTACTAAATACTCTGTAATGGACTATATAGGAAAAGAATCTTTAAAAAGGGTGGATATATGTATATGTATAACAGATTCACTTTGCTGTACACCTGAAACTAACACAACATTGTAAATCAACTATACTCCAATAAAAATTTTTTTAAAAAAGAATATATATGTCTATATATATATATATGTCTGTGTGTGTATATGTATATATATAATGGAATTACTTTGCTGTACACCTGAAACTAATGCAACATTGTTAATTAACTATACTTCAATAAAAAATGGTTATTAAAAAAAGTACACACCTCATAGTCTGCTAGGCTCAAAATATGGAAAGAAATTTCAATTTTAAAATTTATAATCAATTTTGAATTATAACAAACCCTTAATGAAAGAAAGCCAAAGCTCTCCTAACCACAAATGTCCCTTGGAAAAGAAATTTCTTTACCATTTTAAATGGAACTACAAAAGAAAAGATGAAGAAATTTGGCAACTTTAAAATTATTAGAGGAAAATTGTAACCGAATTGGGTAATTCAGTCAAAATTATTAGAGGAAAGTGATAACCCAATTGGGTAATTCAGAATCCAGTTTGTATAATAATGTAGCCAGTGATCTTCTTCCTGAAGTCTTTACTAAGATTCAATTGCCTAAATTTCTTAGTCTTACTTTTTGCCAATTAGATAGCATTAAAAATTTTTTTTGCTACAGTTACTTTAGTCATCTTCGATTTTTTTTATGATTTCTTTGGAATTTTTCCAGATATTCTACAAAATAAAAAATAGGATGGTAATTTTTCTTAAGAGCTTTTATTCTACTGAAATCAGCCACAAAAGTAAATTTGATTTATGTTTTGTATAATTCGAAAATTCTTAAAAGCAGTTTATTTTCAGATCTGTATTTTACATTGTTTTTTTGTTTTGTTTATTTGTTTGTTTTACTTCAATAGCCTTTTATGTCACCTCGGTACCCTGGAGGTCCAAGGCCCCCACTGAGGATACCTAACCAGGTAAGATTTGTGTGTGCTATTTAAGTTTGGTGGTTTGTTTTTTTTTTTAAGAGTCAATAAAGATCTTGAAAATGTCACATATATTTCTCTCCTATAAAAATATTAAATTATTCTTCATCCCATTTTATGCTACTTTAGTGATGTATAACCTACATTAAGGGTTGGCAAACTATAGCCCATAGTTTGGCTGACTTTTTGTAAATAAAATTTTCTTGGAACACTGCCACATTCATTCGTTTATGTATTGTCTATGGCTTCTTTTACACTGCAGTAGCAGATTTGAGTGATCATGATGGAGACCATAGGTGGCCTGCAACCCTAAAATATTTACTATCTAGATCTTAACAGAAAAAAGTTTGCTGACCCTTGGAGTCTACCATATACTTTGAAGCTACCTTTCAAAATATATATAATTTTGGTAAATGCAGATTATACTGTGAAGGATGGCAATAAAATTTTCTATGAACATACTTAAGCTTATTTTTATATTATATAGTTACAATAACATGGCTGTAACATACCAATTTTGCCCAATTATAGTGGCATATCAAGCATATAATTAGCTGCTTCTAGAAGGGTTAGGTCTATTAATAGTTAACAATAGATCATCGAACTATCTTTATCTACAAGAGCTCTGCGATTTCATAGACTTTCGTCCTCAGATAGTTTATCAATAACATAAATATTTATTTTCTAAAGAGAATAAAGCACAATTTTTACTTGCAGGTAGCTTATAGTTTAGGTTTAGAATAGAGACAACGTGCATGTGTGTGTGTATATATATACATATATATGTAACACAAGAAGAAATTAAATGCTTAACCATATGGAATATTAATGTCAAGACGATTGTTTTGTCACTTTCTTTGTTTTTGTATACATCATTTTCCCAGATTTAAAGTAAACCCTGGTTTATTATTTTTATCACAATAAAATCTTTTTCATTTTTTTTAAATTTCCACTTCCTTCCTGACCAAAAAACGGAACAAGAAAGCTGTGCTTACTTTGATAGCACATTTGATAGAAATGGAGTTTTCCTTCTCCTCTCCTCTTACTGAAATTATGCAGTGTCCTTGAAGTGCCCCAATTGCTGGTGTTCTCTGCTTCTAATGCACAGCAAAGAGTGCCAGCACCCACATTCACCCCCTCTAAGCAGGCAGAACTCTAAGCAGGCAGCAGTGCTGGGTCATCTCATGGTTACAGGGCTAGAAGTCCTCACATTAGCAGCTGGAGGAGTTTTCTCCTTCAGACTGAAAATGCATTCGGTACATAGGGCCAGGGAAACATGGCACGAAATAGGAAAAAGAAGTGCACGGATGCCAAGGGTTTCAGCATATGGGAGTTTTATTTTCTCTGTGGGTGAACCTATATGTATTTACAGTCAGATCTACTTATAGGTGCCTGAGTCTGTTAACTTTCCTTTTCTAAGGACAGAAAATTGTATCTTTCATTGCAGTCTTCATGGTGTTTCAGACATTCCATTCATAGCTTTATGTAGTTCGTAGATATAAGAGGTTTGTGAAAATCTCCATTAGGGAAATGTGAATTTCTTGTACAAGCATGTGAGAATTTTTCTGATTCCATTTATTGCATATGAGTAATGAAAATCTCATAGAGTTATTGGAATTGCATCCATTTGACAGTGTTGAAATGCCTGCTATGTATAAGATACTAAGTTCCACACCTAAAGAAATTGACAAAATGAAAGACACTTTTAGGAAGAATGGATTAGTAGTAGAAATGTGGAATTGTAAGTCTAGGTTGTTTGTTTGAAATTTTTTTTAAGAACAACAACCTTTGGATTTTTAAAAGAGGGAATTAAAAAGTTAAAGGTAATAAAGAGTTATGATACAGGTTCTTTTTCCTCAAGACTTTTAAACAGTCTTTACCTAAGTATATTTTAAAACAATTGTACTCTTCTATGAGTGGCCCTTTTTTGCCCCCCTCCCCATATATAGTTAAGCTTCATTAATCCAAACATCTGTCTTTCAAATTTATAATAATTTACATTTATACTATTTTTTAAAGAATTTTGAGCAAACTGTTAAACATTTCCTAAAACAATGTTTACACTATTAACTATTTAGTAGCATGACCTTTTCAAACAACAAAACATTTCTTCAATTTCATTATGTAGTCATTAAAGTAGAATTGGAAAAGCTGTTTTTGTGATTAATTGGAATGATTTATATAAAAACAAATGGTAAAGTTTTTATTTAGTCTATTTTAAATCATAAACTAATAAAATTTTCTTTTATTGGTATATTGTATCTACGAAAATAAAAAGTATGCTATTAACTTCTTCAGTGGTGTTGACTAGTCATTTTGAATATGTAAAAGACAATCCTTTAATAAACAGCTTCTCCAGAATTTATAATTACTAATGATTAGACTATAATTTTTAAGTACTTCTGAGATGGTTTTCATGGGTCTGAACTAAATCCACAAAGGCTTACTTATACTGTTTATATATTTATGGACTGGGTATTTGGGACATGGTATCAAATCACTATGCCCAAAAAATGCAAGAAAGGGTAATAGTATCTAAAATTATGAAAGCAAAGTAAAATTGCAAAAATCTGCAATGTTGCAAAGAATAAATATCTATGAGAGAACACATGAAACATAGAAATTACACCGGAATTGGTTCATCTGTCAGAATAGGTTGGTGGTGTTGAAGTATCCATAAACTGGAGGTCTTTATCCTTCTCATAGATAAAACGTTTAATCTGAAAAATTCACAGTGTTCATTCAACACTATGCTAAGAAAACCAAGACAGCCAGAAATATAGAGACTGTTAATGAGTGACACCAAGAATAAACTATTGATTTATTGACCCTATAGAATGGGAATTCACCATTCCTGAAACTCTGTAAACAGGTGTGTGAATTGAGGTAACATAGTGAATGCTGTTGACGATTTTATATTCTAAAGCTGATTTTGACATTCTAAAAGCACACTGCATCTGACCATTCTACTGAAAGTCTCGAAGATATTTGTCCAATAATAGATGAATGAGTGGTTAAATAAATTATAGTATATCCAAATGGTGAAATAGTATGCAGCTATTAAAAGGTATGTTATAGGATTAAATTTATTGATATGACAATGTTTATGATCTATTACCAAATGTAAAAACGGCACAAACCTGTGTGGTATGTCACGTTTACCATATATCACTGTACAAACTCAGTTCCTCCACTCTACACCCCCCCCAACATGCTCATGCACGCGCGCGTGCGCACACACACACACCAAAAAGACTGTAAGGGACTTATCCTTTATTTCTGGCTGATAGGATTATGAGTGATTTATTTTTTTATTTCTGTATTTTTAAAGTTTGCATAGAACAGGAATTTTATTTGTGACTGGATAAAGACATTATTAGTTAATTATAGATGTAAATGAAAGTACAGATATTTTATTCTTCTGGTTATTCAGTATATGAGATTATTCTTTGTTAATACTGAATGTATAGTTCTTACTATACATGATAAAATGAAAAACAATGGATGTTAAGGATAGGCAAATCTTTTTTTTTTTTTTTTTTTTTTTTTTTTTTTCCTTGCATTATGCGGGCCTCTCACTGTTGTGGCCTCTCCCATTTGCGGAGCACAGGCTCCGGACGCGCAGGCTCAGTGGCCATGGCTCACGGGCCCAGCCGCTCCGCGGCATGTGGGATCTTCCCGAAACGGGGCACGAACCCGCGTCTCCTGCATCGGCAGGCGGACTCTCAAGCACTGCGCCACCAGGGAAGCCCTAGGATAGGCAAATCTTGAGAGGACTATTCTTCACTTTTCAGATAGGGAAAAATCAGCAAGCATTTGAGCAGAAAAAAAAAAAAAAAAACATGTTGTTGGGACATTTACTCATATACTGAAAATAAATGTACTGTATCCCCCCCATATAACCAAGGTACCTATATTTTAAATATACTACACTTACTCTTCCTTACATGTTCTGTTTTTCAGAATAAATGCTATTTAGCATGTCCTTTCCCAGTAATTTTGTCTTTGTAAAATATTTCATATGTAGAATTTGACTTTTATTTAATGATATCAATATGAAAACATGAGAAGGACTTCAGCTGCATAAAGAGAATTAAGTTCTACATTGAGTAAATGATAGGAGTCTTATAGCTGAAATCGTAAAGAAGACTGTAGTAAATCTCTATTGTGTTAATTACACTGTTAAAGTATTTAAATTATTATTTGAAATCCAGTGAAACATAATGAAAAATATATTATTTTCTTTTGACTTTGAATTATGACCATGTCCTGGGATATATGTCTTTTCCAATTATTTTCTACCTTTGTAGGACAAAGGAAATTAACAAATTCAAAATCTCTGGCAAAGAAGAAATTCATTCTCCTTCCCAAATCAAGAAAAATTTACATAGTGAACACTGTGCTGTCTTAATTTAAGTTAGCAGCATATCGGGCTTTTTGGTACAATGTTTACTTCTTTTGCCAAACTGCATCTCATTATTTTACAGCCATTTTGTCACAGATATTCCCTTTTTGGACATAAGCCAATACCAAAAAAAAATGCATTGCCATATATATGATTGGAAACTTCATAGGGCTGTACAAAAATCACTCTCAGCAATAGTCATTCAACAAAAATTTGTTGAGGTTTACTATTTGCGAGGCACCATTCTCCATGGGGGATACATCAGAAAACAAACTAATGAGAATCCCTCTCTCATGGAACTGGCGTTCTAAAGCAGCAGTGCCCAACAACTTTCTGGGAAGAGAGAAATTTTCCATATCTGCACTGTCATATACCAGTAGCTCTAGTACTTTGAGGACCTTTGAGCACTTGAAATGTGGCTAGTGTGACTGAGGAATCGAATTTTTAACTTTATTAATTTAAATAACCACATGTGGCAAAGGGCTACTATATTGGACAGTGCAGTTACAGTGGTTGAGATACAGAAAAAAGAAAAATAAGTAAATATGTATGTCAAATGGTGAGTTGTAATTTGGAGACAAATATC